GTTTATCTTTTTTTTTAGGTTTCTGGTCTAGTTTTTCCTTTTTAGGCGGTTTGACTTTCATTTCTAATTTATCCTTTTTAGGAGGTGTGTCTTTTTTGTCTTGTTTGTCCTTTTTAGACAGTTTAACTTTCTTGCCTAGTTTTTCCTTTTTAGGAGGTGTGTCTTTTTTGTCTTGTTTGTCCTTTTTAGACAGTTTACCTTTCTTGTCTAGTTTTTCCTTTTTAGGCGGTTTGACTTTCATGTCTGGTTTATCCTTTTTATGAGGTTTGACTTTCTTGTCTAGTTTTTCCTTTTTAGGAGGTTTGACTTTCATGTCTAGTTTATCTTTTTTTTGAGGTTTGACTTTCTTGTCTAGTTTATCTTTTTTATGAGGTTTGACTTTCTTGTCTAGTTTTTCCTTTTTAGGCGGTTTGACTTTCATGTCTGGTTTATCCTTTTTTTGAGGTTTGACTTTCTTGTCTAGTTTATCTTTTTTAGGAGGTTTGACTTTCATGTCTAGTTTATCTTTTTTATGAGGTTTGACTTTCTTGTCTAGTTTTTCCTTTTTAGGCGGTTTGACTTTCATGTCTGGTTTATCCTTTTTTTGAGGTTTGACTTTCTTGTCTAGTTTATCTTTTTTATGAGGTTTGTCTTTTTTGCCTTGTTTTTCTTTTTTAGGAGGTTTGACTTTCTTGTCTTGTTTTTCCTTTTTAAGATGCTTTTCTCTTTCCAGTCCTTTTCTCTTTTCTGGTGCTTGTTTTTCTTTATGAGTTATGATCGTATTGTCATGTTTTGCCTTTTTATCTGGCTCTGCCCTTTTGTCTAGTTTTTCCTTTTTAGGAGTTTTGACTTTCATGTCTGGTTTATCTTTTTTATGAGGTTTGTCTTTTTTGTCTTGTTTGTCCTTTTTAGACAGTTTAACTTTCTTGCCTAGTTTTTCCTTTTTAGGCGGTTTGTTTTTTTTGTCTTTCTTTTCCTTTTTGGATAGTTTAACTTTCTTTCCTGGTTTTTCCTTCTTAGGCGGTTTGACTTTCATGTCTAGTTTATCTTTTTTATGAAGTTTGACTTTCTTGTCTTGTTTTTCTTTTTTAGGAGGTTTGACTTTCTTGTCTTGTTTTTCCTTTTTAGGAAGCTTTTCTTTTTCAAGTCCTTTTTTCTTTTCTGGTGCTTGTTTTTCTTTATGAGTTATGATCGTTTTGTCTTGCTTTGAATTTTTATCTGGCTTTGTCTTTTTGTCTAGTTTTTCTTTTTTTGTCGGTTTGACTTTCGTGTCCTGTTTATCTATTTGAGAGATCTTGGCCGTTTTGACCGGTTTTTCCTTTTTAGGCTGTTTAACTTTCTGATCTGGCTTTTCCTTATAAGGCGGTTTGACTTTCTTGTCTAGTTTTTCCTTTTTAAGTTGTGTTTTCTTCTTCATTGGTTTGACCTTGCTTTCTTTTTTAGCCTTTTTAAGGTTTTTTTCTTTACTGTCTGGTTTTGCCTTTTTGACCGTTTTAGGCTTTTTAAACTGTGTTGCTATTCTGTCTGATTTAATTTCTTTCTTTGGTTTTACCTTTTTAGGCATTTTGACTTTTTTGTCTGAATGGAACTTTTTATCTTGTTTTATCTTTTTAGGCTGTTTGACTTTTTTGTCTTTTTTGGACTCTTTGTCGATATTTGAATTTATTGACTGTTTCGCTTTTCCATAATCATTTCTCTCTTTATATCTGCTTGAATATTCAGCACCACGTGATGTAGCTTTTGTACTATCTTTACTTGCTTTCAAGCTTCTTTCCTGAATAGCACTCATAGATTTGGGAGATTTTCCAGCTTTAGTAGGTGATTCTATTTTACTAAATGATTTGGTCTGTGAATCAGATGTTCCTATTTCAGGTTTTATATTGGTAGTTTGTGAACTTTCTATACCAGCAGATTGTGTTTGTGGTGGAGATTTGCCGCTGCCCCTACTTGCTTTTAAGCTTCTTTCCTGAATAGCACTCATAGATTTTTTAGATTTTTTAGATTTAGCAGATGATTCTATTTTACTAACTGTTTTGGTCTGTGAATCAGATGTTCCTATTCCAGGTGTTTTAATGGTAGTTTGTGAACTTTTTATACCAGCAGATTGTGTTTGTGGTGGAGATTTGCCGCTGCCCCTACTTGCTTTTAAACTCCTTTCCTGAATAGCACTCATAGATTTGGGTGATTTTTTAGATGTAGCAGATGATTCTATTTTACTAACTGTTTTGGTCTGTGAATCAGATGTTCCTATTCCAGGTGTTTTAATTGTAGTTTGTGAACTTTTTATACCAGAAGATTGTGTTTGTGGTGGAGATTTGCCGCTGCCCCTACTTGCTTTTAAGCTCCTTTCCTGAATAGCACTCATAGATTTGGGCGATTTTTTAGATTTTCCTTTTGTTTTGGCCATTTCTTGCGCTTTTTTCTTTTTAGGCTCTGTTATGTTTTTTTCTAATTTTGCTGCTTTATAAAGCTTTTTCTTTTGTGGTTCTTTTATCTTTTCTGGACCTGCTATAATTTGTGTAACTTGTTTCTCCTTTCTAGCTTTGGCCGTTTTGTGTGTTTTTTCCTCTTTGATTGGTTTTGCCTTTTTATCCGGCTTTGTCTTTTTGTTTAGTTTTTCCTTTTTATGCAGTTTAACTTTCTTGTCTTGTTTTTCCTTTTGAGACAGTTCGACTTTCTTGTCTTGTTTTTCCTTTTTAGACAGTTTGACTGTCTTGTCTTGCTTTTCCTTTTTAGACAGTTCGACTTTCTTTTCTTTTTTTTCCTTTTTAGGCAGTTTGACTTTCTTGTCTTGTTTTTCCTTTTTAGAAAGTTTGACTTTCTTGTCTTTTTTTTCCTTTTTTGGCAATTTGACTTTCTTGTCGTGTTTTTCCTTTTGACCCAGTTCGACTTTCTTGTCTTGTTTTTCCTTTTTAGGCAGTTTGATTTTCTTGTCTTGTTTTTCCTTTTTAGACAGTTTAACTTTCTTATCTTTTTTTTCCTTTTTAGACAGTTCGACTTTCTTGTCTTTTTTTTCCTTTTTAGGCAGTTTGACTTTCTTGTCTTGTTTTTCCCTTTTCGACAGTTCGACTTTCTTGTCTTGCTTTTCCTTTTTAGACAGTTTGACTGTCTTGTCTTGCTTTTCCTTTTTAGACAGTTCGACTTTCTTTTCTTTTTTTTCCCTTTTAGGCAGTTTGACTTTCTTGTCTTGTTTTTCCTTTTTAGACAGTTTGACTTTCTTGTCTTTTTTTTCCTTTTTTGGCAGTTTGACTTTCTTGTCGTGTTTTTCCTTTTTACACAGTTCGACTTTCTTGTCTTTTTTTTCCTTTTTTGGCAATTTGACTTTCTTGTCTTGTTTTTCCTTTTGAGACTGGTCGACTTTCTTGTCTTGTTTTTCCTTTTTAGACAGTTTGACTTTCTTGTCTTTTTTTTCCTTTTTTGGCAATTTGACTTTCTTGTCGTGTTTTTCCTTTTGACCCAGTTCGACTTTCTTGTCTTGTTTTTCCTTTTTAGACAGTTCGACTTTCTTGTCTTGTTTTTCCTTTTTAGGCAGTTTGATTTTCTTGTCTTGTTTTTCCTTTTTAGACTGTTTAACTTTCTTATCTTGTTTTTCCTTTTTAGACAGTTCGACTTTCTTGTCTTTTTTTTCTTTTTTAGGCAGTTTGACTTTCTTGTCTTGTTTTTCCTTTTTAGACAGTTTGACTTCCTTGTCTTTTTTTTCCTTTTTTGGCAGTTTGACTTTCTTGTCTTGTTTTTCCCTTTTCGACAGTTCGACTTTCTTGTCT